TGCTGCTGCAGAGGACCTCTGTGAGGTCATCCATGATGGTGGTCTCTTTAGGGTCCACCAGGTTGAACTCCCTGATGAATAGGATAAAGTGTGTGTAGAGAGTGTTTAAATGTCCGTGCAGCTCCAGTGCCAAAGTCTCCTTAAAGTGGGAGGAGTAGATATGGGCCAGCACGTGGAACAGGTACTTGCAGATCTTCTTCACTAGGGACTCGAAGGAGTTGGGGAATTCCTTGCCTGAAAGGAAGGTGGAGAAACATCATGAGAGATCTGCTCACCTCCAGCCCTGCAGCAGCATCTGTTTGGCCTCAGTTGGGAGCAGGAGCAACCATCCCACCTGGTGCAGAGGACAACCTGCAGGTCCTGTGTCATCCTCCCACCTTCAGGGGAAGAATCTAGGGAGGTTTTAAGCATTTTCAGGCTTAAATCATAAAGCACCAGGTTGGAAGGGGCCTCAAGGATCACCTGGTGCAACCCTTCTTGGCAAAGACATGGTGGAGATAAGATGGCCCAGCACCCTGTCCAGCCCAATCTTGGGGGATGTTTTCATTTGGAGTCAAGTTTTAAACCCTGAGGGTTCAAAATTCAGGAATCAGGGATCATCTTGCTTTAAAACAACTTTTGTGGGTTTGGTGTTTCTTGGTTTGGGTTTTTTACTGGCTGTAAAAATAATGAGGTTCTTCTGGGTCCTTATCACTAGAAAAAGATGCTCCTGGATGAGTTGTTTGGGACAAAATACTGTCCAGGAGTGGCAGGTTTTTTTTTCCTGGAAGTATATAACTAGACTCTGCCTCTTTCCAGATGAAGGTGCTTGTAAGCAAAGGGCACTGGCTCCACCTCTGCTCTGCTGTGATGTCCCCAGTCCACCAATTATCTGCTGAAGTGGCTCAAGGAGGAGGCTGCTCTGAGTCCGGATTAAGCCCACGTGCAGTAATTTCAGGTCTCTTTTCTTCCTCTTAACCAAAGGCACTGCATGTAGCCATCTAGTTAGGCTAGAAATTTGAGTTAAAATCACTATCCTCTTGCTTTTCAGTTCTTAAAGATCACGTTCTCCTTTCATTTCTGGAAGGGAAAGGAGACTGCAAACAACCCGCGGGGTGAGGACGATGAGCCACATTCCTGGCAATCCAATTTATTTCCTCCTTAATGCATCAGGGCCCTAAACCACCACCACCAAGGCTAAATCTGACTGGCAGCAGGCTGTATTAAAGACACCCCTGCTGACAACATTCAGATTTTCACCCTACAGAGGCCAGAAGATCTCAAAATGCTTCAAGACGCACCGACAACAAAACACAACCCAAGGATTGTGAGACTCTCACCCCGGTTCACACGCCCACGCTGCAAATTTCTTACAGCAAGAACGAGCCCAACTTCAAATCCCCCCTAAAAACCCCCCAAAAGAGCCCAGAGGGAGGTGCAGGAGCTCTGGCAGAGCCCAGCAGTACCATATTTTGTTGGGAAGACGTCCTCGTCGGTCACGAGCTTCTGCACCGAGCTCATGACGAAGTCGACGTACTGAGGAGCAGTGCACTTGATCTTCTTCCCCCGCTCATCATACCAGTAGTACTGTCTGTGGAGAGAGCAGAGTGTCACCATGCTGTCCCCTGGCCCTGCAGCACGACCCCTCCAAGGGTTTAGGGTCCAAATCATCCCAAACACCACCCGCCACGGCGCCCACAGCCACCGGAGCTGCCACGCGAAGAGTTCGCTCCAGGCTCGCCTTCTCCAGCCAAAAATCTTCATTTTTTAGCCTGTTTTGCTTCTCCCCAGCAGTTCTGGAGAGAGCTGCTGACATGCCTCCCAAGAAAAAGGAGCACTGCTGGGGCTGTAGCAGCTCCTGAACGGGATGGAGGAGTCCCCTCCTATTTCTGAAGCACGACTTCACCTCCTCGTGGGGTGTAGTTATGTGGTTTAACAGGAGGTGGCTCCAAAGCATCAGCTTTTACCAGCTTTCCACAGCTTTTCCCAGCTTTCCACAGCTTTTCCCAACTTTTCCCAGCTTTCCACAGCTTTTCCCAACTTTTCCCAGCTTTCCCCAGCTTTCTCCAGCTTTTCCCAGCTTTCCCAGCCTTCCCCAGCTTTCTCCACCTTTTCCATCAGCCACAATCCATCCCCTGGAGCCCTCCCTCACCTGATGGACAACCTGCAGGCTGCAAATTGCTGAAGATTCTTTCCTTCCTGTTTTTAATTCATGGCTAATGACAGCACCTCTGTCTATCCTCATCAGGCACACGCCCTGAGAAACGTTTTACAGGTCAGGAGTTTGACTGAACACTTTTTAGTTCTTTTTTTTTCCTTCTCCTGGGTCATAGTTGAGGTGTCTGGAGTCCCAGTTCCTGAGCTCCTCCTGCAGCCTAAGCTCCCAGCACAGTCCTGCATCACCCTGGGACTGGTAAGAAACCCACTGCTGAACTGGTCTCACAGGTTGACACTGGTCTGAGGAGCAGAACTTGGCTAAAAAGCCCAACATTGAACTGGCAGGACCTACACGTGCCACCCAAATCTGATGTATGAGGCCCAGCAGGACAGTCCTGAAGCAACTCAAGAAAAACACCAAGTGTATTTTATTGATCACCAAGACTGGAAAGTTCTAATTCACGTGTTCTCATTGCCCAGAAAGATTCTGGAGGGACCTGGGGGTGGGGAGGTGAAGACAGAAGTGATTCCTGTCCCAAGAGGAAGCTGCAGAAGTTAAGGAGAGCAGCTCAAACCTCACCAGAGAGAAGGCAACTCAAAACTAGTTCTGCAGACACTGAGGGTTTAGAGAGACAGAAAGCAGGGCTTAGAGTTGCCCTGAGGCACAGGAGTTAATCTGAATAATTGGATTTTAGTTAAAAGAAACAAGTTTGGCAGCTGCCCAAGTTCAGTTACAGGAAGATAGAAATGAATAAATCTGCTGTGACATCCCACCACGGACCCTTTTTTGCCTCTCCTTGAAAATGAAGCTCGTTATGCCAGCCCAGCAATTTAAAAGAAGACTCATTAAAAGCAAGGGGTAACTACAAGGCTCGTCCTGTTGATTAGAAGTGTGTCTTCCTCACGTTTCAGGTGCTGGAGGAGCCCCTGACACACTGTGGACATCTCAGGGATGGTCTGGAGCTACACCAGAAGCAGCTCTGCTGTGCACCTAGTCAGGGACATTAAGCTGTGTACCTATTTTATCCCTGTTCCTCTTAAGCCTTCTGGGTTGTGGTGATGCCACAGAAGCCAAGGCAGAGAGGACAGAGCCACAATGTGGGAGCACAGAGCTCAGGGAACTTCAATACAAGGAAACACAAGCAAGGCTGAGTCAAAATTTCTAGAAGGAAACACCCCCCCCATACACAGTGACATCAAGGGTAAGGTAGATGTGAGAGAGGAGACTGTGAAATTGGAAAAAAATGAGTGATATGGAATGAAGGGGTTCCACTAAAGCAAAAGGAGGCTTTTCCTTCTGATCTGCAGGCCTCCTGGAAGTCTGCAGCCAACCTTGGCTTCCACCTCAGGGGTTTTGTAACCTCAGCCTCACAAACAACACTCAGATGGGCTCCTTGGAGGAGTTTTGCCCAAAAGTCAGCTAGAAACCAGCTGACAGCTCATGGTGCTTTAAAGGCAGTTTGTGTAAGAACACTGAGCTGCAAAACACACCAAACCCAAACAGTAAACACTGCCACAAAAACACAGGCCCTGCTCCACAGCAAGTGGTAAGCACACCAGCCAGCAAAGACATTCCCAAAGCTACATTCATGCCACCCTCATTCCATTTTGGAGCTAACTCTGGTGTTTCTCTTGGCATCATCCCACCTTGCCAGCCTCCATCTGTTCCACGAGGAGCCTGAGTTGGGGTCAGATGTCTCCCAGTGACCCCAGGCAGAAATTCTCCCCCTGCTTGGGTGCAGATGGTCGTGCAGCCTCCTGTGGCTGGCACAGGGCTGAGAGAGCTGCATCTGCCTGCACTCTGTTCCCTGGCTGCAGCTCCTCTGAGCTGCTCAAACCTCACCTCAGATATTGAACTGCAACTGGGGTTTATTTTGCCAGCAAACCCTCTAAATTTAGGACTGTTGGCAGTGCATTTGAGTGCAAAGTCTTTTGTTGTCACAAGTTCTGTCAGCGTCTCGGCCTTCCTTAGGTAGGACCCAGAATGGTGTGATCAAGAACACACCTCAGGGAGCAGGGCTTGAGGAACAGCACACAATCCTTGTGAATTACTGAAGAAATCAGTCCTGAAAAAAACTGGCAAACCACAGCCTTGTTCCAAGGTCCTGTGAGTTGGTGGCAGTCCAAGCCAGCTAGAAGCTGCTTTATTCAGCAGCTCTAACATTTAGGTGGTCCTCTCCAACACTGGGGACAGGTCAGGGACCAAAGAAATCCTATCAACTGGTGTTCCTCCAACACAACAATCATGTCCTTACCTTACTTCACTAGGGGAAGATTTAAAACAAGCCAAAAAAAAGCACAGAAGAAGAGGGGTGGGGAAGCAACACACGCCTCTGTGAGCGTCAGAACTGGCTGTGAACAAATCAGCCCCTCTGAGGCAGTTCCCTGTGTTCCAGCTACACCTCCCTCTTCCAAAGGGGGAAGGGCAAGATGGGCTGAGGGTTACCCAAGGCCATCAGAGCAGTTTGGAGATGGCTGTGATGAGCAGGGCCTCCAAAGCCAGGCTGTGCTGAGGCCTGTGGCTCCCTGGGTGACCTCACCCCGCGGTTTGTTCAGCGCCTGCTCGGAGGAGGAAATCACCCAGCCTGCAGTTTGCAACCCAGCCCCCGAGTGCAGGAAGGTGCTGAGGTGCTTGGGGTTCAGCTGAACACAAAGCATTCCAAGCTCTTCACCCAGGTGCCTGCTTCCTGGCCTTCCCAAACGGTGCCATTTTTCCCTGTTCCAAAACACAGGCTGGGAACGTTCCGCTGGGGGTCCTCCCGGCTCCAAACACAGGCTGCAGCTGGAGCTGCCTGCAGGCACTTCCCCTCCTCATCCTGCAGCAGGGAGTGTGGCAGAGAGCTCCTGTTCAAGTCTCCCCACAGCAGATTGGAGCCACACTCCCCTCAGGTCCCCACCACCAGCTCCTTGCAGCTGGTTTCCCACCCAGGGACTCCTGGGACAGCCAGTGCTGCAGCAGGAGTGAAAACAGGGGAGAGTTTGGGAGCAAGAGTCAATAAATACTCATCTTACTGATCACCATTTCTCATTCAGAGACCTGCTGTCTCCTTCTGATAAAATCTGGGCCCAGCAGAGGTTTGTTACCTTCTGTTCCAGCCTGCTCTCAAAGTCCCTAGCAGGGCCTTTTACTCCTCTGCTGCCAGTCACCTCTGCAACAACACCCACTGGACACTCTGTGTTCTTCAGAGAGCTCTCCAAGAAAGTCCCTGATCTTAAAGTGTCCCAAAGAGCTCAGGACATGAAGCAAGGTCAGGTTTCTAAGCACTCCATAACTCCTGTCAGAGGTGCACTGCAGAGCCCTGGCACTGCTGCACGCCTTCCCTGGGATGTTTGTGTGATGTCCTGGACCACTAATTTCTGTTCTAAAATTCACCTCCACTCCATGAATTGCAGGAAATGCAAGAGGAGGGAAGAAAAGGACGATCAACACATGTGCTGGAGTTAAAAAAAACCCACCCACAACACAACAGGCTTATTCATACTCGCCTGGATCTCATATTCCATCGTGTTGGGCTGTGCTAATCAAGAGCAGGAGTTTATGGCAACTTTTCCTTGTGCTCACCATGCAGAGTAAAAACACAAAGCTTTCTTTCACAAGGGACAGCTCGTCAGCAGTACAGAACTCCACCAAGTCCTCCAGGGCCAAAGGGCCAAACCAAAACGTTTTCCTTGCTCTCTGCAAAGCTGCCGCTCGTGTCCTCCGTGCCCAGGGCTCGGGCAGAAAGCCAGTGGCTCACGTCAGGCTGGAGGTTCTCTGTGAGCATTCTGGCTGTCTAAAGCACCCTCTGAGGTTTCCACCACTTGTTACCCTCCCTGGTCTTCCATGGAATCCCAGCACTGCCAGCAGTGAGGACAGCTCTGCCTTGCTCTCCCTGCGAGCGACGCGCGTGGTCATCGCGACCCGATTTCCACCCTCCTGCCTCACCAAGCAGAGCTCTGCCACAAAACTCCTGCCCAGTGCCACCCAACACCAAACATCCTCCCCCCAGGCAGCTCCAAAGACTCCACAGAACCCTCGTGGTGGCCAAAATGGACTTACGTATTGCACACTGCCATGGTCTGACATGACTCTCCTGTACAGAACTCTGAGATTGTACTATACTGTAAGTTGATGTGGTGGAAGAAAGTTGTTGCTGCAAAAGAAAACACAAGAGGAGAGAAATTCAGAAGTGAAACACTTCCCAACACCAGTTAACCCCCAGACAATCAGTTCAATAGAGCAAAGTGAAGTGACCTCAGAGGCTGGAGCTGGCATAGAAATTTAAAGATGAATTAGCTAAATGAGTCTAATGATGAACTGCCAAACAAAGAGGCAGTGGAATGAAAGCTCTTGCTTTGATTTAAGATGAAAGGCCCATGATGCATCAGCTCTTATTACTCATGAAGCAGCAGGACTGGAAAGTGGCTCCACCCTCCCCCTCACCTCTGCAGCAGAATACTCCAAAAGCTGAGGGCAAACAGTTTGCTACAGTCTTCTGAGGTCAGACTGAAAATGTGCAGTGGCCAGAGAACAGCATGAAGAGTTCTCATGACTTAGCTCCTTTAGAAAAAAAACAGCAGGCACACTAGAACCCTTCCACCTCACAACAATCTCCTGAGATAATTTAACATCTGAGGTGGGGGTTGGTCCCTTCATCCCAAGGAACCAGCGTTGGATGAGAGGAAAGGGGCTGAAGTTGCACCAGGGGAGGATTTGATTGGATCTGAGGAAGAATTTCTCCCCTGGCAGAGTGGTGAGACACTGACCCAGGCTGCCCAGGGAGGTGGTGGGGTCACCAACCTTGGAGGGGTTCAAAAAACATGTGGAGGTGGCACTTGGGGACCTGGTTTAGTGGTCATGGGGAGTGTTGGGTTGATGGTTGGATTTGATGCTCTCAGGGGTCCTTTCCAACCTCAACGACTCCATGATTCTACCACCAGTTTTACAACGTTTTGGGAAGGCCAATGGCTTGAGTCAGAAACCTGCTGACCCAGCCAGTTGAGCATGATGGTCCTCAAAAGAGCACCAAAACTCTAATGCCCTCAGTGCCAGGGTGAGGGAGCTGGAAGGAGGAGAGGCAGCAAAGCTTCCATGCTGCTGAGCACAGTCTGTCTGCAAGGCAGCTTCCTGACTGCCCGAGGGGTAATGACATGCACTGTGCAGGGAGAAGAGTCACTGAGTGTTTTGCTAAGCACTGGGAGCAGTAAAAGGAAGCAGAGTGACCCAGCACCACCTCGGGTGTGGCCAGCAAGCTGGAGGATCACAGGACTCACTGTTGCTGGCTAGCCACTCGTTGAGGTCTATTTCTCGTGGTAGCATCACTAGCTCCTTAAATTCGAAGTCAGTAATTCTGGATTTGGTGTATTCTGGCTCTAGGTAAAGTTTCTTCTCTTCTGGTGCTGGCTTTTTACCATTTGGCTTTCCCTTGGACTTCCTGCAAGAGATTGAAAAGAGAGAAGAAAGGTTATTTTGGCTGTTGGTGAGCAGCTAGAGGAACCCAAAAGAAGGGGGTTTATCCAAACCCCTGTATCTGTGTTTAAGCTGCTCCTCCTGTCTCCCCCCCTCCCCTGAGCTTAACTTATTGTTTGATATCCAAGCAAAAACCAGTTGCTGGAAAAGTGTATTTGAACTCAAGTCACATTTTTCAAGCAACACTAGATCAGGCAGCACTTGCTGTGTGCTGCCACAGAAATGCCAGGAGGAGACACCAGGATTTTTAATGTCAGGTTTTCTTGGTTAAAGAGGTTTTTAAGGCCCTGTAAATCCAAGACAAGCTCACCTTTACATGTTTGCTGTTGAAACTCACCCAGATCCCACCCTAAGGAAAGCCAGACCTCGTGTTCTGGCTCTTAACACACCTTAAATAACCTTCCAGCTCTGTCTGAGATACATGAAGCTCTCATCTGTGCTGTGAGGATGGGACACACATCTCCCAGGGAATGGTGCCTGAAGGGTCAGTGCTGTCCTCAGAGAAAGGATGATTATTGATTTCTCTCTTCATGATCCTTCAGACTTCTCTCTTTATGGGCTCTTCACTCATCTACACACTAACCCCACCTTCAGAATGACTCCACATCAGCAGCACTGCAGCAAGGGAAAGCCTGAGATTCACCATCCACAAGAAAGGACCTTGGTACAGCTCAGCCTCCAGCACTGCCACTGTTTTGCCTCATCATACTCCTCTCTAACCACTCCATGAAGACCAGAAGGACTTTAAGACCTCAGGAAGGCCACCAGCAAGGAAAAATCAAGAAAACTTCAGTGACTTGCACCCTCGTGGTACATTTACAAAACACTGCAGGGATGAGCTGGTGGCACTTGATTGCCATAAGTTAATGAGAAAGCTGGAAGTCATGGTTAGAAGAAAATAAGGGCAGTATAGGTGAGGATGGATTCAGCACTTGGCTACTTGTGCACATCTCCTGCCACCTCCCTGTTCCACAGCAGAGTATTCCAAGGCAAATGAAGCCTACAAAATTTGTCTCATGTTTATTCAAAGTAACCTGGGCTCATTATCTGCTCCACAAAGGGGTGGTTGAGGAGGTGCCAGGTCAGATGTCCCTCAGCTCAAGGCTCTCAGTACAGAGAGGGGTTGCTCAGATCAACTGCTCTTGGTTCTCAGGTAACTATTGTGGTCTTCAAACCCTTCCAGTTGCTACATCTCGTTTGAACCTCACCTCAAAAATAAGCTACAGATAGGAAAGAAAATTCCATGAGAACTCCAAGAGGGCCTTAAAGGTATTTAAAAAAGCCATGAAAGATTTTCTTGATCTTTTCTTGAGCCTGAGACTTCAAATTTTCCCAGAATTGAGGATGATGTTTAGTGTAGCAGCAATAAACCAACAGTCTCGTGTGATACCCTGTAACTGTAACCTGACTTTACAGCAGCTGAAGCAACACGTTTGACCTCTTCCTTTTGCAGGAATACCATGTTAAGACTTGAAACTACCTTCCCCTGGCAGTCAAGAGCATAAATCCAGTCCAAACTATGCACTTGGCCCTGAGCTGGCAAAAAAAAATACTCCAGGCTACTGATTTGCTTAATTCTGCACTGCTGCAACCAAGCCTGGCACCTTCATACCTGCTGGGGCTCTGAGACAACACTACAGAACACACTTTTTAGGGGTTCTTTTTTTCCAGCTGAGTTGGTTTAGTGAGTTTTGGGTTGGGGGGAGGCAGGATTCAGGCATTCAAGGGTAAGAATGTTTCTTACAAGAAAATGACAGTTCCAGTCACAATCCCCTAGAAAGTCCCTTCAGAGAGTGGTTTGACAAACCACAGGAACCACACTGGAGGAGAAAAGTTATCACTGAGGAGCAGCTGGGAGAGAAGAGTTTGTGTCTCTGCTTCAGGACACTTACAGGAAGGGCCCTGGGTTAGGGCTGTGCCACGTCAGCCAAGAGCAGTCTTCTGAGAGGAGGAGGAGGAGGAGGGGAGAGAGAGATGAAGAGGTCAGACAGTCTGTCACAGAGCCAAGGCTGTGGAAGGAAACCACAGCAGGAAGACAGATGCAGAGGCTGAGGGGTAGAAATGGGGACTGGGCACCTGGTCTCACTTCAGCATCTCCTCATTTCAGGCAAGAGAGACAGTTGGATGCTGAATACATCCCACAAGTCTGCTCCTGCCAACAGCTACGTGCCATCCTCCAACAAAAGCCACCCCCAGCTCCACCCAGATGCCAGCTCTGGGTCACATCAGGACCTGCAGCCACTTCAAGTCTCTCTGATAGCTTGTGTGGGACTCTCTGCCTCGTGCTGGAACTGGAGCACTTCAGACAGGAGGATCCTGTGCTCTGCCACTTCCCAGAGCTCTGGCTCCCTCTGGAAAAGAACTTGACTCATGGGTATCACCACTGAAGCTGCAGAATGCTGTCATCACTGAGATCAAAGGGTTTATTCACACCATGGAAACCTGAATGTCAAATCTCCATGGCTCTTCTCCCAAGGCATCAGTGATAGGATGAGAAGAAATCAGCTGAAGTTGCACCAGGGGAGGTTTAAATTGCATATTGGGAAGAATTTCTCTCCTGGCAGAGTGGTGAGGCCTTGGCCCAGGCTGCCCCGGGAGGTGGTGGGGTCCCCAGCCTTGGAGGGGTTCAAAAAACATGTGGATGTGACACTTGGGGACGTGGTTTAGTGCTCATGGGAGTGCTGGACAGTTGGACTTGACCTTACAGATCATTTCCAACCTATTCTGTGTCCAGCACAAAGTTCTCTGCCACTTTCTGCAGCTGCTGAGAGCCAAAGACCACAGGAGTTGTTCCTACCAGCAGACTTTCATGACCAAATATTCCAAGGACAACCCAAAACCACTCCTGGTCTTAAAAAACACCCCAAGTTTTGAACCAGACCACCCATCTTCCCTCAGCCAGGCAGAACTTGGGTTGTAAAGTCAGACTTGTAAGGCTGGCATCAGCTGAGTGGTGCTCATTCTGGGCTGTAAACCCCTGGGTTTAGTTTGGAAGCTGTCAGTGCTAGTCAACACTAAAGCATTTTCTTGACAGACTTCCAAAGCTGGAGCATGCAGTGGTGTGGAGAGAACAGTTTTAGAAACATGATTACATATGATTAAGAAGCAGCAAATAACAGTTCCATATGGCAGAGAAACCAAAGCTCACACACTCACAGCTACCAGAATCACCCACGTGTCTCAAGTTTATAGGTTAGGGCCTTTCTGCTCTCCCCCACCTCTGAGTTCACTGTTGTTTCAAAGACCTGCTAGAAAACACTACCTGGACCCAACTCCAAAAGTCTCTCCTCTGTTGAGAGCTCTTCACATTCCAGAAGCTTTCCTTCATTTTTCAGGTTATGTTTAAAGGACACAAATATGAAAAATCCTGTGGAGCCATTTCTGAGATGGACATTTCTGACATAGAATCCTAGAATCCTTTAGGTTGGAAGGGACCTCCAAGATCATCAAGTCCAACCACTGAGCCATTAGGGCTCTAAAGTCCTCTGCTAAAACAGATCAGAATCTGTCAGGGCGGGAAGGGACCACAAGGATCCCCCAGTTCCAACCCCTCTGCCATGAGCAGGGACACCTCCCACTAGATCAGGCTGCCCAGAGCCTCCTCCAGCCTGGCCTTAAAGACCCCCAGGGATGGGGCCTCACCCCCCTCCCTGGGCAACCCATCCCAGCCATACCTCCAAAGCAGCTGGAGGAATGTTCCACAAGAGTTTGGTGAAGGGCAGTCCAGAGGTCAGCCCAAACCTTGTCTATCAGTGCTGAGCTGCTAATTAAGGGAAGAAAAAGTCTTTAGGGAATCCAAGGAGACAGCACTTGGCAGTTTTTACTCAGGCAAACCAAAGAAGTCTCAGATGACTGCCAGGATAGGTTTGTGTGTGTGCCTGGCTGGTTTTAGCCACTCAACTGAACATGATGCCATGGGGCAAGTTGCACCCACAAGTAGGTTCCAGAGAGGGAGAAGTGATGGGAGGTGGCAGGGGAGAGGTCACTCGCCTGAGGTCTCAGAAGAAGGTTCAGCAAACTGGCTCCAGCCAAAGACAGGACGTTCAGTAATGCTTCTAGCAGGGCTTCCAGCCCCAGCCTTGTGTTCTGCTGAGGAAACACAGCAGCTGGGGGTCTGCCTGGGTTCCACTGCAGAAAGATGGATGAGACACTCCACCAAGTGACAGGCCCGCTGGGCTGTGACAATTTTTTCCCCTGGTCTAACTGCTTTGTTAAGATGGAGTAAAACTGCCAATTTCTCAGCATGTCTTCTCATCCTGTCCTAGTTAATCAAGATCCTCCTTTAATATCTCTCTCTATTTCCTCCTTGATCAGATGCCCAGTAGTTCCTTGGTTTAAAATAAACCTGCCCCTTGGAATGCCTTCAAATCACCACCCAGGTAGGAAATGAGGTTTAAAACCACATGAGGGATTATTCCCATTTCACAGCAAAAAAAAAATGGCTGGGAGGTTCCACGTTTGCTTCATGGTGCAAACACTAAAGATGGGCTTCAGCTCCACCTGCTCTGCTTGTTTGGAAAGGAGAACACGTGAAGCCACCTGAGATGCAGAAGTGTCACAGATGCAACATCCACTGATGTTCCTCCTAACCTCAGAGAGGTCCCATCACTCCAAATTTGCCCCAGGCCTCCATGGGTGGGGTCAGGAGACCCTCATTGGTTACCAGGGTGATCACAGAGGGGATAGCAGTGAGTTATTAAACTCCCAACTCCCCTCAGCTGGTGGTGGGGTTTAAGATGATCTCTGCCAGAGCAGGACTCCTCTTTTCCAGAGGGAACCAGCAGTGTTGTCCCCTGCAAGCTGTGTGGTCTCCTACCCTGACATCTCCTCAAGGACAAGTGGTGGTGCTTCAATCCTGCCCTTCAGACCCAACTCACTGCCCTTGGGGTGAGTTTATTTACTGATATGTAATAATATGTATTTATTTTTTCTTTTCTGTTTATTTTTTCCTTTCTAAGTACAAGCCACAAGTGGATTTTCTCTTTTTCATGCAGCATATTAAAGTGATTTTAGTACCA